CCCCCCCCCCCCCCCCCCCTCCCCCCAGACGTTAGAGAAGACCTCGGTGTGAATCCTTTCTTTCCAGTGAAGTTTGCTTTTCAACAGAGCCAGAAACTAACCGGAGGTGTTTGTGTTCATGGTCCTCTCACACAGGCGGCCGCCACACGCTCCTTCTCGTCTGAACCCCATGTGAAGAAACTTCCGACCCGGCCACAAAGAATCAGCAGCAGGACTCTGCTGGAAGAACTCAATTTTTATTTTTTGTTTATTTTTTGTTGTAAGATCGTTTGGTTAAAGAAGATAACAGGTATCAAGAATTTCTTAAACAGAATTGAAAAACCCCCAATTTGCTGTGTAAGTATGGTAATATCAATAGTAAACATGCGCTGTATTTACTGTAAATCTTTTTCCGTGGCTAAATAAATACCGTTCAGACGTTTCAGGTCAAACTATTTGGTGGTGATAATTTTATGATTAAATTTCCAGGTAGTTGTAAATTACAGCCCGCCAAGAGGTTTCGTGACACATTTATTTCAGATGCTTTCCAGCTTGAGTAACAACTTGAATAAAAACATGTTTCTGCAGAACTCTGAGGCGGCCTGGGGAGACATTCAGGCGATGCAAAGAAGATGTTGAGGTGGGAAAAATTCAGGTCCGCAAGCACTGGATTTACCCACAAAGGCTCCAAATGAAAATAAATGGCATGAATGAAATTAGATATGAATTAGATATGCATATGGTGTGTGTGTGTGTGTGTATATGTGGTACAACTCTGTAGAGAACACTTTATTTGACGGGGTGACGACATGAACGTGACGACATGAACGTGAAGGAGTCTTCATGAATATTTACAACTGTTGTCATTAAGTGTCATTCAGTTAATAATGACACTTTTAATGCAAAGTTGCAATAAAATTTGTATTAAAAGTACATTAAAAGTGCCAACTTTGCATGTGTTTTAATGCATAAGAACCCCTCTATTGCTAATAGTAAATGGCACCATGAATATTAATAAAATCCCACCTTTTTCTGACTCAGAACTAGAACTCCAGTGACGTCTGAGAAAACTTGAGACCCGATCCAGTTTCTGATCCACTGTTTAAAGATTGAACAGCTGATCAAATCAAGTTACAAACTTAAACCAAACTGGATAGTTTGTTAACATTTTTGTGTCACTTAGCCATTCACAGAGCTCCCTGATCAGAGAACATATCAACTTTCATACGGCGAAAAGCAAAAACGGCTCCGTTCTGCGTTCTTTCAGTGTAAAACGATGCTTTTATTGTCATGAATGTCTTTCACTAAAAGCTGATTTGTTACATCTTACAGGACATGTGAACATAAAATGCCTCTGCATGAACAAAAAGGACACTTTTGTCATCTGAAAGAAAAAAAAAAACATGGTTGAAGTTTAAAACACAAACGCAGTCGGTGTGTCCTACGACACTGCGATTGGCAGTCAGTTTGTGAAAGTTTCCCTCCTTCCCACACACGTCAAAAGACTAAAACAAATGTGACTCATTAAACAGGACCCTTAAAAAGAAAAACACCAGAATCAACTCTGAGACCAACTAAAACAAACGCAGCTGCAGAGTCAACACTATTGCACGTTATTATCCTGTCATTATTATCCAGCAACTGGGCGAACAGTCTACCTTTACCGTAAAATCCCGACCCCTTCACCCCCTTTCAGAGGCGTAGGACGGCTTTGATGCGCATTTCCTTATCGGTTTGTGGGCCAGACGTGGCATTAAAGGCACTAAACAAAATGAATTGACCCAACTTCCACATTGTCATACCTCTTCACCTTCTGGTTGCACTTTGTGATTTAATGAAATGTCATTATTGCTCACAGTCTGTTTATTCATCTGTCTTGCACACTTTCTCTATGTGCAGACTCTCCGCTTGTCGTCAAACAGTTTGCGAACGGTGTAGACCTGCGGAAAGACGACGGGCACAGAAATCAGCAAAAAAACACATTTCTCTTTACACTACTGAAGCATAAATGCAGCAGATTCCTGGAGAAAACTGCAAAAAAAAAAAAAAAAAAAAAAAAAAAATCCGTAAAAAATCAAGCCAGAAAATTAAAATATAAATGTTTTAGTTAAATGCATATTTATTCAGGTCTGTATTAAATAGATGCACTACTGGCTGCAGTTACAGCACTTAGTCTGCTGTATTGGAGCAAATAAATGCTCAAATTCTTATTCCTTCATTTATATATATATATATATATATATATATATATATATATATATATATATATATATATTCGGATGGATGATAAATTAATTAATTGCGTAATAATGCAAATTTGCTCTATCTAAGACCAATAAATAAAGTTTCATTTTGAAAAGACACTGGTATTGGAAGATATTTAAAAAATCCAAAGTAAAACACACACTCCACTTTATTACTACTAATAAAGTGGAATAAAAATATGTAAATGTCAAATCACACTGACCATCACTTAAATGTACAAAATCAGTGAGGAGGATGAACACGCGTCATACTTTGTAACGTCTGGTTAAAATGTGCAGTGAATTAACGGGTCGTGTGGCGGTCACCTGGGTTAGGGCCACACACAGCATCACCAGCACACTGGCACACGACCAGAACGAGACCCTCCATAGGTTGTCCTCCAGCAGGTTTCGGTCCCGCGCCTCAAAAGCCCGCAGGACCGTCTGCATCTGCCGGCTTCGCTCCAAACGTTTGTGCAGAGACTCCATGGTCTCCTGAGGGGAAACCAAGCAGAGAGCGACGGCGTGTAAGTCAAACAAACTAATGCTAAAAAGAAAGAATAACTACACCGAGGACGAGTCTCGTCTGCAGGTTCTGAAGTTTCTGCAGGTTTCACTCAAATTTAAGACTTTTTAAGACCACAATGACTGCAATTTAAGACCAATATCTTCACGGAAATACCTTCATCACGCCAACTGGTGAAGGCGATAAAGTTGGTTTTACCCGGAAAAACCCAAAAAAAAAAAAAAAAAGAACAGCTACCAGGGGTGTGTTAGCAGTGAGTTAGCGGTGGCCTCCATCATCTCAGACAAAACGCAATGAATATATCCTAGTGCGACTCAAACACAACCTGACAAAAAAGTCCAGCAAAAAAACAACAAAAAAGATTAAACAATCATATTAAGACAAAATTTAAGATCTGAGATCTGTGATAAACTTATTAAAGGCCAAATCATTTTTTGAAACTAAGGCTTTTAAGGCCTTAATTTTAGATACACAAATTTAAGCCCTTTTAAGGATGCGCAAACAAACACCCTGAGTCTGCTTGATTAGCTGACGACATTTCTCTCTCTCTCTCTATATATATATATATATATATATATATATATATATATATATATATATATATATATATATATATATATATACACACACACACACAGACACGTATTGACCTAAAATATGACCTAAAACAGTAGATGTTTACAGGTTCTAAGTCATAGATAGCCAATAACAGTCCTGGAGGGACTTCCCCAAACAAATTACTCTGCTCACATATTTCTAAGAACATAAACTCAAAGTCCAAACATAGGTACTCTTTAGAAACTAGTAATATTAGTCATATTTTTTAGCAGGTTGAGCATCAATAACTTTTTATGGCTTTCTAAGCATGCCTTTGAGATCATGATTTATTTCCTACCTAAGCTTGTCAGCCGCTGAGGCGCGTTCCCATTAGCTAAAGATTACATACAATAGTTCAGCATAAACTGGGTGCCATCTAACCACATCCAGAAGGCCACAACGACACATTTTCCTAAATGTCAGCAGGTCTCCCGTAAACACCAAAAGCCGACTCTGCGTTAGTCCGTCTTTCTAAATTTCCCACTTCCTCAGGCTTTCTGTGGCTCACGAGCCAAACGTGTTCCTTCTCCTGACAAAGAAACAATTCATCAGACGAGCATTATTTCCATTTTTAAATGACAAAAAAACGACTACCCTTTTCAGATGAGAACTGCTACCAGGAAACGGTGCTGCTAATGAGGGGGCAGTAATATTTAAATTGATGCCTTTTCTACACGTCGCTTCCACAAATCTATATGGAAAAAGGTCAAATACAGCAAATCTGTGAAGAGCAAAAACAAATCATTTAATAACCTTTTCCACCTCCAACATGCTTGACCTACTGTTTATAACATTATCAAATAAGAAAGGAGGATATGACAAAACTGTAATTTTCCCTATCTAAAAGCATTGCACTTAAAGACAACAAAAATACACTGTACCTAAAAATGCTATGGCTAATTCAAAACTATTTACATGTCTAAACTAAAAAAATAAATTAAAAAAAAACCACACAGATAAAGTTAACTTATTTGAGTGAACTGTACATAAATAACGATGAAAAATTAGCATTTTTCATGTAAAATTAATCAGTTAACAGTTTGAAGATCAGCATCAATGTTTGTGTTACTTTTGGTAGTGGAAGTAATTCAAATATTTTTCAATTACTGGAACTACAGAAGTGAGAAAATGGCAAAGATGAACTGGAAATAAATCTGCACTTGTCCGTGATGGATGTAAAAAAAAAAACAAAAAAACAAAACAAAAACAAAGCTAACTAACTAGCGAGTGCATATTAGCATTCAGCTAACCGTTGGAGTCACACAATGCAGTGAAGACCTCTGTGAGTCAAACTGTGATCCAACGTGCAGTCCTGTGTGAAAGCGGAAATCTGAATAGGATCTCTACATAGGATTAACTAAAGATCTGCGATTAATGCACTTAATGCTAACCAATTTTTTAAGACAATTTGAGGGCATAATTTCAGATACATGAATTAAGTGTTTTTAAGACTTTTTAAGGATATGCAGACACACTGCTGTTCAAATACTTTGTATAAGGCTCTTAATGTGAAAGTTTGCAGCATTGACTCTATAATTACAAGTCTAAATAGAAACCAGACCCTCTGAAGCTGGATGCAAACATCCAGCTAAAGGTTTACTCACGTAGGATTAATCGCTAGCTAGCTACTGAAGTAGAGGTCTGCCTCTGTAGTTTCCCTCTGCCACAATGAGGACATCATTAAAAAAAAAACCTTCCTTCTAGAGCTGCAGTCCAAAATTCAGCTGCGTGCCACAATAACCCTGTTTTTCTTTCACCGCCTTCTGCAATGTGTCAAGGACTATATATATATATATATATATATATATATATATATATATATATATATATATATATATATATATATATAGTCTTAATTACTATTTTATTTTCAACTAGCTATACAAATACTGTGGCGATATCGTGACAAAACAGAAATGATTTCATTCTACCTACATAAAAGATTTTTTTAAGCTCAAACTTGTGAGTCTGAGTTGTACTTGTGCCTCATTGACGACAGACAAGATATCTTCTTTGGCAGCAGGTCAATATTTTCTATCCCTTCACGATCGTTTCGTAACAAATCATATGGTTTTCAGTTCAATTTGACAGGATCTACGTTATTACCGTCTTGTTTCTTGACGTTACAAACACCTGGCATTCTATCGTGTTGCGTCCGTCGCAATTTTAGACGCTGGACCTTCTTCTGCCGTTTCTCTCTCACCCTGATGTCGTCCAGCTTGTATTCCAGCAGGCTCCCGTCGGGCTCCTCTACACCCAGAAACTCGTCGTCTCCTCCCACATCCCCTCCTTGTCCCTCGATGATGATCTCAAAGAACACCATCTTCTCCGAGAAGCGGCTGAAGCCGTTGTCGAAGCAGATCTCGTAGTCTCCCTCCTCCATGGGCTCCACCCTGCGACAACAGAGACGCAGAAAAACAGGTTAAAAAAAAAAACAAACAAAAAGAAAAGAGGGTAAAGCTGGTGGTGTGAAACTTGATCAAGGACATAAAGCTGCTTACACGTGGACTCCGTCGGAGCGGCGCGTCTCGATAATCAGGCGGGCTCCTTGGGGCGAGATGATGGTGAAGTCCACGTCCATACCTGCTCCTGCTATCACCTGGGACGACAGGCAGATCATACGGTCAAAAGAGGCAAACGGGACAAATCGTTATATCTGTTTCACAATCTGGTTTAGAAATTACACTTTCAGCTGCGTCTATTAACTACATTTCCTAAATGCCCAAACAGTAAAAGGTGCGGCCAACATGCGCTCAACAAACCAGTAGGTGATCTACATACTGAGCAAACAGACAATGTCAACTACCGGCAGAAAGGTCGCTCTCCAAACACGGCGTTACGGACCAACCGTCTGTGGAGTAGCAAGACTCCACTTTTTTATTCACACTGAAGCAACAGGAGTATGCTCTTAAAAATGTAGATTCACAAACACAGTGACAATTTCAAAACGATTCAAGGACAGCACACCGCAAAAAAAAAAAAAAAAAAAAAAATCTTACAGAGTATTTTGTTTCATTTCTAGTGTAAATATCTTAGCACACTTGAAATAAGACTAAACCAATTTAACAAGTCACTTTTCAGTAAATAAAGGAGCTTGTTTTAAGCAAACAGTTTCTTAATATTGATGAAAAAGTACTAGATCCTTAAAACATGGGGGAAATGTCTTGTAAGTGAAATAATCGGCCAGTTGAAGCAGTATTTTTTAATCAATATTAAAAAATTACGTACTTACAAACAAGCTCCCATATGTTGCTGAAAGGTTAGTCGTTAGTTTCTTTAGTCTTATCTCAAGTATACTAAAATATCTGTACTAAAAATTAAGCTAAAAATACTTTGAACGAGTTTGTGTTTTTGCAGTGTAGAAAATGTAAAACTCAACAATATTATTATATCTTTTGCAGAAGATGTAGAAATATCTTCTGCAGGGGCTTTACATAAGTCCCTGTCCCTTAGCATTCAGAAAGTAATCAATTGAATTTGATCGTATTGCTTTATTATTTGGGCTGGTCTCAGACTGACTGTATGGTTTAAGATGCTTTGAGATATTGAATTAGTTCTATATACTCCAAAAGAAGGACTTGCACTGAAAAACAGTGTAACATAATGACAACTACATAATAAAATGAGAAATAAATGTACGAGTGAAATATTTTCAACTTCCTCTTTCTATAGTGACGTCACCAACACGGAGACTTTCACGCTCAGCAAATAAGACAGTTTGAAGAGCAATTTCCTATTTATGTGATGATGAGTTCACCAATGAGATGTGGTTATAATCACACGTTTTTATTTACGTCTCCCTCCCAGATCTGACAGCAGTGGAGCTAAAACTGCTTTAATATTAGACACATTGGTCACAGCAGGAAAGCTGAAAATACTGAACAGTTGTGAGTTTTCTACATATTTGGTAGTAAAAGTGAATAATTTCCTTTTGTGGCCTGGTTTTTGAAATGAGAAGTTTTGGATTATGCAAAACAGAAATGCATGCTCCTTTCACATTAACGAGTAACTCTACATGTATCCAATAGTTTATTGATAGCTTTGTTTGGAGTCCTGGATAATAGAAATCATTTGGACTTTCACACAAATTAAAACCTTTTTTTTTAATGTTTGTATTTATGCACTAATGAATTTAACAATTTACCGCTGAGAAGTTCTGGTTTGTGACTGGAAATGATTATATTAGTTTATTCATTTATGTATTATCTCTATTCATTAAATGCATCCAAATATAACTTCCACTATTTTGGGGCAACAAACACGATAATGTGTACTTTTAGCTTAGCACGTTTTATAGAACATAGGCTTGGATGCAATAATTATGTAATTCCCTCTTCTTGTGAATTTAAAACTATTACTTCTATGAACGAACCTGCATTAAACACTATACTATGTATACTATACACACTTTGTAAGTGGTATAGTCCTCCTTGGAGTAAAAATTATACATATTGTGTTTGATAAATATCGATTTTAAAATATTTTAATCACGGTACAGCTTCTGGAAACTGACAAAGCTTTAATTCAACTAGTGGGTATTGGTGTAAAATCCTTAAAGATGAGCATGTAGCTGTTTGTGAGGACAATGAGTGACTGTGTTCACTGACTATTGAGTATTTACCTGGTATTCGACCTCCATCGTACCGTTCTTTATTGCCGTTTGATAGAAACACTCGGATCTTCCGGCTGGAAGCAGAAACGTAAACTCGCTGTCTTGGCTCTGCCCAAAACACTGCACGGAGCCCACGCAGCACAGGAAGGCTACGATCAGGCCAAGCAGTCCTCCCCTGCAGCTCATTCTGCCCCGGAGAGCCTCCATGACGGTGAAAATTTGCTCAAACGCTTGGCAATCTGACTACAAACATCTTCCTCGCATCCGTCTTCCGCAGAACAACTTTGCGACGTTCTGATTGGACAGATGCCCGCTGACAAAGGCAGAGGTTGTGACCAATCAGAAGAGGAAGAGTAGCAGCCCTTAACCAATCAGAGCAACCCGACGTCTTTTAAAGGGAGAGTGATGGGAATTGTGCGGAAGTGTAGACCTGCCGCCTTAGACAAACAAAAAATATACTTTCATAAAACATATCACGCATTATTACTAAGTATATTTCGTTATCACAATAAACAATTTGTGTTCTTCCAGGATTATATTTATATTGTATGAAAGTAAGGACAAATAATTACAATACATTGTACAAACACACATCTATATTGTTTTAACAATAATTAGTTTTTATGTTACAACATAATACTGTTTTTATTGCTAGAACATACAATGTGCTTACCTTGTAACATAAAGTCAATGACGACAAAGATAAGCTACTGAGAAAACATCTTCTATTGGAACTGATCAGGTGTTCATTGTGAGGCATGGTGAGATTTTTGCTGCTATTTACGTGGACAGGAACTTATAACGCAAGGTTGAGTAAAAGAAAGGAGGAAAAATTAGCCAGAAGTGATCAAGGAGACCGCATTTGAAATTACTCCATGAGAGCAGCACAGGAAGCTTCAGGTTCAGATATTTATTCGTGGCCCAGATATTATATCATTCATTCTATGCTTTATTTAGACTGGAGGGGGACACTGACAGATATATCTGGCGCAGAGACAAAATTCGCCAAAAATGATTCCAAATTAATGTGCCATCCTGACTGTTACAGCAAACTGAACTTTTGAACATACAAACAGAGCAATTGATTTCTGAATGTGAAACGTCTTTACTAGAAATATACTGTTCCGACAATATCTTTTAGAAGCTTTCACAACAGATTCATACAATATAAATAAGTACACTCTCATAACATAACAATATACTTATTTATATTGTATGAACTACATGTCTGAAACTATATGTTTTATACATGGGATGTATATAGGTAGAAGAGTATAGCCTTCACCTTATAATGTGATATTTTTGTTTTGTCTTGGTGGCTGTGGTACACTTTTGTAGCATAGCATTTCTTTGATCAGGAGTAATTTGCCAAAATAACTCAAAAAAAAAAAAAAGAGCCTGAACTTTGGCGCTTCATTCAGTTTTCAGTTCAACAATATGAACGAGACACTTTGTGACAGTAGATTCAACCCTGCTTTTTCAATGATCCAAAGCACAGCAGCAAGTCCACCAATTAATGGACAACCCACGTTCGTCAGATGTAATGATACTCATGAAATCCACTGAGGCAACATTCAACAAACTGATAGACTCAGAAACTTCAATCTAAGTTGTCTATTTAAAGTTTCAGACAATAATCTTTTTCATTTTTCATCTATAAAACATGTTTTTACCTCCCATATATTCTTTTTCACTCAGCTATTCAACAGTTTTACTTAATACTAAACAAACAAAAATATCTTAACAGGAAAAGATAAAAGATACAAGAGGAAGGTTGATTTTAGTACTACATCTGACATCAAAGTTTCTCTACTGAAAAATAATTTGTAGTAATTATTTCTTGTGGCTGTGTGGTTCTTGAAATGCCAGTCATTCACATAACTAAATTGATAAAGAAATCAAAGACAATACAACTTCTTCAAACCTTCAGGAACAGAGAATTTTTTTTTTTTTTTGCATGCAACACTAACCACAACCCAAACAAATATGTATGTGACCTTAATGCAAACAACATACGTCATTGTCAGAGAGCAGCAATCAAAAAAGGGTAGAAATGTTGTCAAATGGGGAACTAAGGTAGATGAAATCACCTGGGGAATTTGTCTTTTAGAAATAGGAAATGTTATTTAGCTGGATGTGAGAGGGTGGGGAAGAGGCCACTGGGTCAAATGGTGGACTAAGCACTAAAACACATTTACTGCATGTCCTTTCTCTATAGTGTGTGTGTTTATTAACACTATATTTGACAGGGTGAGCATAAGGCTGACATGATGCTGTCATAAACATGACATAATATCTGAACATGAAGGAGTCTTTATGAATATCTTACTGTTCTCATCACGTGTCATTCGGTAAATAATGACACTTTTAAAGTGCCAACTTTGCATTATTTTGTAAATATTGACACTTTAATGCAAAGTTGGCATTTTTAATGGACTTTCAATGCAACTTTTAGAGCAACTTTGCATTAAAAGTGTCATTATTTACCGAATTACACTTCATGCCATAGACGTCCTTAAAGACTCCTTCATGTTCCTAACAGATGCTATGTGATGTTTATGACAACGTCAGTCCAATGCACACCCTGTCAAATAAAGTGTTACCTACTTTAGATATAGTTTGTTATTTTATGAAAGTACACATTGCTACTTTGATTTATTTTGCTGTGAGGATCGGGGGGTTCCTGTGAATTGTTATTTAATCAGTATAAATCATCCACTCCCCTGTTTTCTACCCACTGTGTGCTGCTGTTCAGGGTCATATCAGTCGTATAGAGGTGGGCACACATCCTGAGTAAGTTGACGCTTCATCACTGGTCCATGTAAATTACCATATGTCACTAACTGTGAAAACTAGTGTCCGTTTTCGAACCAAGAGGAAGTAAGCAGGTTGTCACTTCTTCAAAGAGTCACCATGAAAAAGTAAGAACAAACCATATTTATGCTGCTGGCGGGGAATTTGTTTTGGTGCGGTGGAAAATGTTAAGTGTCGACATTTGAAGACCTCAGAGTAAATGTCACTAATATGTGCGGTGGTATGACCTCACAGTGTTACATGTATGTCAGGATGAACTCTTTTCCCTACGACTACTTAATAAAGCACTCACACTTCTTACAGTAAGTCTAATTCTAGCGTTCGTCTTAATGACGAAATGTATTTTTATGGTTTAAGATGTCATTGCTGAACCAGCATAGGTCATGACATTCTAACAGTAGTCTGAAAATTAGTAATTTAGATCAAAATTATCAAGTCGGGGCACCACCTGATTGATTGGAAAATGGTATAAAACTTCATTTCTGGATTTATTTGTTTTGGTTTATTTCTTTGCATGGAGTCCTTGGGTGGCTTACAAGCACCTGGTGAAAATGTCTTGCCAATGGCACATTTAGAAATATAATTAACACGTAAAATTGTGATGTGTTGAATACATATTTTACCCACTAATGGGCAAAATAACACACTGTAATAGTTGTAGCTTATTACAGCGTGAATGTGTGTGCGCGTGTGCGTGTGTGTGTGTGTGTGTGTGTGTGTGTGTGTGTGTGCACTTGCGTACCTATCCAACAGGGGACATTCGCGTCGTTTTACACTCACCAACAGGGGACCCTCCAGCCAAGAGGGGACATTTTTTAGGTCCCCTCTTGGACATGCTCTAAATCAAGTTCACATGCGTGTGTGTGTGTGTGTGTGTGTGTGTGTGTGTGTGTGTGTGTGTGAGAAATAGTGAATGACTGAATGTAGCATAAAGAGCTTTGGAGTCCTCTGCACCTGATAAAGCTCTCTACAAGTACAGGCAAATTTGAAGTTTATAATTTTAACTCTGTACTTATGAGTACAAAATCTACAATCAACCCAAACTCGTGTGCCCAGTTGTTCCTCAGAAACATGATTGGACTTTGGATGTTATGTAATCCTAACACCTCGACTCAAATAAAACATTCGAAACGGCCATGATGAGTGGAAGGAAACTTCCAGCTCAACATTATTTGAGACTTAGCAAAGACTGGTGTGAAACCACTATCCTCCAACGTTAGAGTTCTTGTTTTGAGCCACCAGCCTTACAGTAAGGTTAACCCCACAGAGACCTAATGCGTCTCAGGGCATTTCTAGTTCTTACTGTCCCTCCACCTGACGAGCAGAAGCTGCAGGCGCCTATAGGCAGGGCCCCTAATTTGGTCGGCATGTCAACTTCCGTCAGTCCTCTCTGCATCTTCATCTGCACTAAGCAAGACAGTTTACGAGTCTCGCTTGTGTGAGAGGTTACAGTGTGTGGGCAGAAAATAAGTCAGAGTGAATTGTGAGGTTTCGCCGTATGGAGTTTGTCTTGTCAAACTGTTCCCTCCAATGACAGAGAGAGAGAGAGAGAGAAAAGGAAACTTGAAAGATCTAGAGAAAAGGTTAGTTTAAATATAGGATATATATCCTAACATAAAAAAATACATTTTACATCAACATTGTGAAAATGCTCAAGAAACTTTTCAGTTCACACATATTGAGCACAAGAAGAGGAAGTTAGCAGAGTGAGAGATTAAATCTCGTTGGAGTGAATGCAGTGCCTTGAAAAAGTATGTGTAAGCATGAATCACATGAAAGACTTTACAATAAGTATACAGCTTAAAGAACTAAAAACTAGCATACAGCTAATAACAACAATAATAATAATAATAACATGAAACTTTTATGTGAAAAGTCTGCTGTGTTTGTATGTTTAGACACAGGCAACAATTAGTTGTCAGGTCGTGTCACAGATCTTCAGTTGGATCTAGTTCTGGACTTTGAATGGGCCATTCTGCAACAAGAACATGAATCACATGTAAAACTGTGATTGGGGGGGGGTGAAAAAGGAAGAGAGCAGAAAAGTAAATGAAGCAACTCCTCGACAAGACAATGACGGTAATTATGTGTAGAAATCCAAAGACGGAGGACAAGTTGCACCATGAATGTTGGTCTTTTGCAACACGTTGTCTACATCTGCTGCAGGTAGCGGCTGCTCAATTGGCAAAGCCTCGCAACACGCAGGACAACTTTACAGACACATGTCAGCTCAGGGTGACTGCGTGAGGAGACAGAGGTGAGCTGCAATATGGGTTACAGTGCTATAGCCTGTGGTAGCAGAGATGCGTAGCGGTCAAAAAGAAAGGATGTCACTGCTTCAACCTCAGGGCAAGTGTTAATGCAAAGCCCAAACACAACAACAAGCACAGACCGACACATCGAAAGATCACAGGCTCAAGAGGGACACTTACAAAATCAAGGCAGTTTCGAAGTCAGAAAAAAGAAACACAGAAAAACCGTGCACATGATCGGGAGGGAGAAGAGGGG